GCTAAACACACTCTTGAATCAACTTTTATCATACCTGTCTCCAGATGTAAATGTGCATTGGAGACACAGTGAGGCATCTGGGGGGCTGCTCTGATGAATTTAGATGTACTCTCTCCAAGGAGGTGAAACAAAAAGCTGGGGGGGTCAACCAAGGTCCCATAAAGGAGCTGGGCTAGTGGCTTAGCCTGAAAAGTTCCAGGCTTAAGTGCGGCTAGAACATAATATCCTCCCTTGGAGCGGAAAAATTTGAGGATGGTATTGGCAGATCTTTGTCCAGTAGAGCAGCATATTCACACTGGGCTTTCCTTGAGTCAGTGGCATGCATGACTACTCCTAAATACCTAAAGCAAGTCACTTGTTCTATTCTATGGCCATTAACGTTCCATGAACGGAGATTCGCCCTTTTGGCAAATGCCATAATCTTGGTTTTTTGATAGTTTATTTCTAAATGATCATTGTTGCAGTATTGGACCAGTTCTCAGAGCTCTTTTAAGACTTATTGGTGTTTTGTAAAGAGCTACAGTGTTGTCTGCATAAAGCAGCTGGACAATGCTGCAATCCACTAGTTTAAGGGGATGGAAATTTGGATTATTTAGACACGTCACCATACCATTGATATAAAAATTGAAAAGCAGGGGGGCAAACCTGTTTTACCTTCTTTTGAGTTTAACTGGCTTCAAGAGAAACCCTTGCATATTGCACCTAACCTTAAGAGTCGTATTAGTGCGTAGGGCTTGGATTAATAGAGAAGACTATGGTCGGTTGATGAGGCTTCCAGCTTCTCCCATAATTTGGTCCTAGATACAGAATCAAAGGCTGCCTTAAGATCTATAAAGACAGTATACAATCATACCACATGGTTGGTTGAATATTTTTCAATCAAGTGCTGTCAATCAAGCAAACATTGATCGATGGTGCCTCTACCTTCTCTAAAGCCAGCCTGCTCTTCCACTATCAGATTTTCCTGATCCAGCCCGTCTTTAAGTTTATCATGGAGGCACTTAACATAAAGTTTGCTCATTATATTTAGCAGGTTAATTGGCCTGTAGTTAGCAGGGTCATCTCTCTTTCCCTTCTTAAAGATCAGAACTATAATTGCAAGGCCCCAGTTCTCAGGAATGCTTGCAGTGGTATCAATATTGGTGAAGAGCTAAGCCGGGATTGGAGCCCACCACTCTATGTTATTCTTCAATAGTTCTGGGGGAATAAGGTCAGGTCCAGGGACCTTTGCCCTCCTGAGTTGACCAATCAGGGACTTAATTTCAGATGCAGATACCAGGAGCCACTCAGGTAAGTCCTCTTTTGCGTTGAGGACTCACTAGAGGGATCTTCGTACATCCTCTGAAAATGCACTTCCCAGGCTTCAGGAGGTATATAAGAATCCAAGGGGGTAGAAGCTCTGGAAACCTGGCAAGATATTAGGTGCAAGAAAAGAGTAGAATTCTGAACCATTGCTGCTTGAATTTCTTGCTCTCTTTGACCATTGTGTGAGAGATGGGGGAGGAGAGGGGCTTTGCCTGCAGAGCCCATTGGGTGTGAGGCTTCACCCCATTACCTGACTAAAAGCAGGGTGTCTGGGGGGAAGGGCTGATTTGGATGGGAAGGAGATTGTGGCTTGATTGACGGAGGGAGAGCTGCCCCAGTGGAGGCGCTTAACACTAGGTGGAAGGACCATTAACCAGAGTGGTGCCTGCCTGTTTTTGTTTGTTTGTGAGTATTGTCAGCCCTGCATGGTTGACAGGACTAGGATGCCAGAGTTATGAATACTAATAGTACTTTATTTTAGGATTACAGTAACAGAATCTTGCAAGTCTGAAAATATTTCCCCATACCCCTGCCTTTCCATTCCTGAGAACTAAGGAGGGTCATGTCTGAGAGCTTAATCAAATTACATTTCTGTCCTGGACTCAAATTTCTTTTATCTGACTGTTGCCTTGGTTGCAGTTCTTTCCCCTCTTCCTCAAGGTTATTCCTATGACCCATTACAGGTGTTGGAATGAGTCCCTTTGCTCTGGGGGTAGGGGAGTGTGGGGAGGGGGAGCTGGTGGGGAGCCAGAAGCCATTGCCCCAGACCTCTATTTCAACCTCAGTGCTGCTGCTGCCAAGGAATGCAGCCTCAAGCCCTGTGCCATGGCCACCCAATCCAGCACCCCAGAGCAAAGAACCCACCGCCTCTGCTGCCCTGCACCCTGCAGGCCCTGCTGCACCCAGCTGACCTCAGCCATCTTCTTCCTACTACTGACAAGGCGTGCCTGGCCCAGCCCTATATGATGCACCAGGCCTTCTTCCTGAGGTTGCTCGCACCATTCTTCAAATAGTGTGCCCCATTTTTATGATGCTGCAGAAGGCCTTCAGAAAGCTTCTAAGGCGCAGGGCCTGAGAGGCAGTCCTCGGAGGTGGTAGCAGCAGGACTGGGGCTGAAGTAGAGGCCTGGGGGCAATGGTTGTGATCTGAGACTGGACAGGAAGGAACCAACTTCAAATCAACCCCGGCAAGACGGAATGGGTTTGGGGTTTTGGCTCACCCAGGGTCTGGGGATATGACTCTGGATGCAGCCCCTGCCTTATGGAAAACCCCACCTCCCAAGGCCTGACAGGTCCCCAGCCTTTTAACCCACAGAAAAGCACTTAAGAACTGGCTCTTCCCCCAAGCATTGGGATCGGATGAGGTTAGAGTGGGAAGAGAAGTTTGGGAGTTGCTTCAGGGAAGTGCGGTTATAGTGCCTGGTTTTTTGGTTTTTGGTTTTGCTGGTTTTATTGTTTCTTTTGTTATTATTATTCTACATGTTGTTTTATTTTGGGGTCGTAAGCTGCCAGAGTTGGGCTTTCAGATAGGTGGCCATAGAAATGTTTTAAATAAACAAATAAACAAACAAACAAATAAATCTCGATCATAGGTATGTTTTTTTCCCCTTATGTATGTAATATGTTACTAACCAATAATGAGGTAAATTATGTTGTCCCATTGTGAGTGATGTATATGGTGCATGAGTAAAGGATAGGAAAGAAGGAAAGAACTACATGTTTTTTATTGGTCAATGAGCCACAGATATCTGTAAGGTCCAATCAATAGACTGACTGCAGTGTGTGTGTGTGGGGGGGGAGGGAATATCAATGAGTCAAGATTGGGAAGTGAATTTAAATATTTCCATTCCATTTCATCCAGCTTGCTACCTACAAAACCCAGGACATGATGTCCAGCTCTAAAAGAAAGATGCTATGACTATCAAAATCATATTTTTGAGTCTATTAGAGCCATGGCACCTGATCAACCCAACTGCTGTAAAGTTCAGAAGGTCATCCAAGGACTGGAGGAATACCTTGGTGTTTACCAAACCAACTTATGAACTGCTCTCCAGTGTTACTCTGCTATCAGCCTCTCTGCTATCAACCCAGTCATTCATTCCGAGTATGTTGCTAATGCACATACTGAATTAAAGGAAGCAGTTCTGCACAGGACAACTTGAGAGTTGGAAGCTGTAGTGAAAATGGGTACCCACACCTGGGAGAGGTTGGTAGCAGAAAGGAAAGTGGTAGCCTAAAAGCCCAGATTGATTGTAATGGCCTATCAGCTTTAGAGAGTCAAAAACTCTCTGTCCTAATAGTTTCTGTCCTAATAATAGATGAGGAAACTAAGCACTGGAGATTGAGACTCCTGTCTCTGGCTGTTTTTATGGTAAGAAACCTTGACCTTGGAAACCTTACTGCCTAGAAAGTAGATGCGATATTTAAGTGCCAATTTTTTTACCCAAATTCCCAGCAACACATTTTCAGACTTATACTACTCCACCACCATCACTTGAATGCAACGCTCTAGAGCAAATCTTCAGCCTTGCTCTGTTCTATTAGGAAGGCTGGGACCCCCATTCCACTAGCAAAGAATGCATTTTTATAACTCTTGATCAAAGTGGTCCTTTACTACGTGTACCCGTCTCTGGCCAGAAAACTTCTTAATTGATACCTGATGCAACATATTTTGTTTTACAACTTCTTTTCTCTGACCCTCATACCTCAGGGAAATCTATACAAGTGTTTGGGGTAGAGAGACACCCTGCTTCTCATTTCCTCATCGAACCTGCTAAAACAGAGTTTGGTCCTATGACCACAGAGCATGCTTTTCTCTTTGATGAGCACACTATAACAAATTTATTAGAAAGGGACCAAGATGTAAATCTGATACTAAAATGTATTGTACTTTGGATGGAGTGGCTTTGGAGTTATCAGAAATTTCTTTGCCAGAGATTTCCTGGTCCCAGTTACAGAGCAGAAGATGGAAGGTCAGCCAGGTGGCCAACTGGAAGATCTTTTCAATTTACCTCCCTCTTTGTGGGTGACCACATCACACAATATGTACCTGAGAATTTCCAGTGTCTGATTTTTTTCAGGAAAAATACATAGGCATCTTTGTTGAAATGAAAGGCTTCTGTGTATGTACATATGAATAAATCCCAATCAGTAAAGTTAAACTTATTATTCACATTAAATCGAATTATGTGAATGACTGCTGTGTATAGCTCATTGTTGTAACAAATCAAATAAAGAAGGAAAAAACACATAGGTCTATAAAAAGAGCTAGTAACTCCTCCACTTCCTCATGTCCCCATACTGAAAGGTATCGATAAATCAATTTGTGGCTTTATTTATTTATTTATAACATTTATATCATCCCCTTCTTAAATACATAACTCTGGGCAGCTAGCCACCAATCTACAAAAAAATCAAAATTATAACCAAAGTCAAAATAATACAATACAAAGAAAAAACCCAAGATACCATATAACAAACTCATGACCAAACACATCCTAATATCTGAGGGCTAACACATGGAAGACAATGCAGGTCTTGAAGGCAAAAAGGATTAGGTCCATGCACATATCGGGGGTAGGTGGCTCCATAGGGCAGAACAACAACAGAAAAATTGAATTCCGCTTTCCAGCTTAAATGTATACTGGGAAAAATTCTCTGACTTGTACATGCAAAGGGTTGGAGGCAAACAGATTTTTAAATCCTTCTTTTCATCAGCTGATGCTTATTGTTCAGTTCAGGTCTTATCACAATGATAAAAGATTTGGGAAAGAAGATACACACCAGTAAGCCAGCACTGGAGGAGATCATGGAGAAGACCTCCACAGCCAACATATATTTTCCTCTGGTGCTTAGATACGTTGGAACAAAACACAGCCAAACACTGCAGAAGACCAACATGCTGAAGGTGATAAATTTGGCCTCGTTGAAACTGTCCGGTAACTTCCTAGCTAGAAAAGCAGCAGAGAAGCTAACCATGGCCAGGAAACCCATAAAGCCCAAGACACAGTAGAACATAGTGACTGATCCTCACTGCACTCCATCATGACTTTTTCAGACATTGAGTGCACATCAAAATCTGGGTATGGTGGGGACATTATCAGCCATGCAGCACAAAGGCTGGCTTGAATAAGGGAGCAGGAAAAAAGAATGAAACTGACTATTCTTCCACCCACCCATTTCCTCATTCTTGAACCAGGTTTGGTGGCCATGAATGCTAGAACCACAACAAAGGTTTTGGCCAATACACAAGAGACTGCCACAGAAAAGATGAGGCCAAAAGCTGGTTGTCGAAGGAGACACACAATCTCATCAGGTCTCCCAATAAATAGAAACACACAAAGAAAAGAGAGAAGGAGTGAAACAAGAAGAATGTAGGTGAGATTCCGGTTGTTGGCTTTGACAATGGGAGTCTTTTTGTGTTTAATGAAGATTGTAACTACTAAAGTTGTCATAAAAGAAAAACAAAGTGAAAGAACAGTGAGACTGATCCCCATGGGTTCTTCATAGGACAAAAAAGTGATACGCTTTGGAATGCATATATTTCTTTCAGAGTTTGGATAATAATCTTCAGGACATGGAGAGCAGTCATCCGTATCTGAAAAAGAATGCAACAGTGGTGTGTTTAACACAGTTATACCAAATGGCTTAGTGCCTTTATATTTAGAATCTTCCTACCCTTTTCCTTTGATATTTTCCCCTCTGGACACAGAAGACAATCATAGCAGCAAAACGGCTCCCCTTCTTTCTTGGCCTTGCTGTGTCCTGCCTCACAAGGATCATTACACAAAGAAAAAGGTGCCTATACATAAATAAAGAGGAATATTTTAAGATATAGAGGGGAAAGGAAGTGCTTGGAGAAATACTCTTACTGGGGAATCAACAGATTAAAAAGGGATTGATAAACAATTTTAAATTGTAGGAAGACATTCTGAGAGGTAATTGGTCTGAAACTGTTTCATTAAAACTGTTTCATTAAAAGTGTCTGACCACTCAACCTACTACAACACAACCAACACAAGCTATGAAAAGGATAACACTGCCATACATGAGAAATGTCTCAAAAACTACCAACAGGCTATTTATTTATTTATTTTATTGGATTTCTCCGCTGCCCATCTCCCCCACAACAGGGGACTCTGGGTGACTTACAAAAAACATTAAAGCTATAA